GATCCAGTAATGAAAAGGAATGGGGTACTGATGTATGGTACAGCGTGGATGAACTTTGTAAATACTGTGCTGAGTGAAAGACCGCAGGTTATAGGATTTCATTTGTATGAAATGTCCACATTAGGGAAATCTATAGAGACAGAAAGTAGATTAGTAGTTGCCTTGGGCTGAGAGCATTGGGAAAAATGGGGAGTAACTGCTAATGGGTATGGAGTTTCTCTTGGGGGGGGTAATAAAAATGTTCTCAAATTAAATAACGGTGTACTAAAAACCAGTAAATTTTACATTTTAGAAGAGTGGATTTTATGGTATGTGAATTATATCCTAATAAAGCTGTTACTAAAAGAAAAGGAGGAGGGGGGGAGGAGAAGCAGCAGCAGCTGTAACGGAATGTGAACAAGAAAATCAAATACTTCACAATGGAACCCAGCAAATGGTTAACTCCACTTAGAAACAAAAAGCTTTTCATTTTCCTTTTTATCTGTGATGGGTGACATCCTTATAACAATAGTCTCTTGTTTTCCCCTAACAATAACTACTATTATGTTTATTAGTAAAAAATATCAGAAAGCAAAGACAATTAAAGAAAAAAGTATAATCCCACCCATCCAGGGAAAAAAATCACCATTAAAAACTTCTTGTAAAAACTTCCAGAACCTTTCTTTTTCTCGTCTACTTCCAGATTTTTTTAAAGATGCTCCAATGTATGTATTTTAAACATAAATAAATTTCAGGTAGTTGTTTTTTCTCTTAAAGTAGATCCTGGGTACCTTTCTTATGATTTGTAAGAAATCGCCAAAGTATATACCTTTGTATGTCTTTACAACTTACAGAATAAATGAGGGAAATTTACATTGCTTCTTATAATTATGTAAATGCAGTGTGTTTGTGTGCACTTTTATAATTATCTCCTAAATATTTAATTCTCAGTAGTAAAATTACTAGGTAAAATTCTTTATCCTTTTACATTTTTATGTATATCGTCATATAGGCCTGAAAAAAACCTTGGTACTAATTCAAAATCACATGAAGAGCATATAAATAAATGTTCCCTTATTAAGGCCATTAGCAGATATTAACACTTTAAAAAACTTTCGGCAGAGGCCTCTTGAAAGGAGGTCTCCCGATTTTGATAGGAAACAATGGGTTCAGTGTTCTTACCTTCAGACTTGGTCCAGTTCAACTCCGCCAAACATGGCACAGTGAAGACGGCCGAGAGGACAAGCCTTCTCATGGCCTCCATCGTTGTCAAGGGAAGAACAGCCTGAAGGGAGGGCAGGCTTTATACTTCCCGGGGCTCCGTATCTGGCTTCAGAGCTTTCTGGAGACCTTCAGGGAATGTGTCAGTTTGACCATGCGAGGGCCAGACGTACGTGAGAACAGAGCAGCTGTCTGGCTGATTTATTATCAGCAATCCCGAACAGTGAGTGTTCGCTCTCCCCAACTCATTCCTGGGACATTCACAGGACGTTCCCAAGTAAAGCTCTTCCTAGGGGAGCTCCAACACGTGGCGCACAGTAAGCACCGAGTAATTCTTCCGGGCACCGACCTGGAGTTGAGCCGTGGCCCTCTTGTTCGTGCAGATCACGAAGCGGGTAGCGCTACTGCTATCTTAAGCCTTCCCTGCTCTTCTCTAAAAATTAGAGTCAAAGGATCAGCTGGGGAGAGAGTTGGCACCTGGGCACACTGCGGGTCCAGGCAGGTCACTCTGCTGCCTGCCAGGGTGCTGAGACTGAGGGAGAGAAGAGGTGGCCCAGGATGGCGAGGAAGAGGAAAGCACAAGCGTGAGTTCAGCTTCCAGGAACTCCAACCACTATGCCCAGAGCGCCGGGAGCAGGTGAATTGAAGTCCCCTAGGCACTGTGTTTTACAGATGACAGAAAGGAATCCTGGCGTCCAAGGTGAGACTGGTGGCGCAGTGGCAAGGCCAGCACCTGTGACATCAGGAAATCATACTCACAAGAAGCTCTTGTATGGGACTGCCCTCTTTTCACTCATTCATTTATTCAAAAATATTCGTTAGGGGCGCCTGGGTGGCTCAGTCGTTCAGCGTCTGCCTTCGGCTCAGGGCATGATCCCGGGGTCCTGGGATCGAGCCCCGCATCCAGCTCCCTGCTCAGCGGGAAGCCTGCTTCTCCCTCTCCCACTCCCTCTGCTTGTGTTCCCTCTCTCGCTGTCTCTGTCAAATAAATAAAATCTTTAAAAAAAATTTTTTTGTTAGTTACTGTTATACAGTCTGGGGATTTGGAATTGAACATGAGAGAAACAGTCCCTGTCCCCATGGAACTTACTCGCTAAGTGGAGACAGACAGCAAACAAACTGAAATAAATTACAAACAGTGATAGGTACTGTGAATATAAGGGAACAGGGTGATGGGATAGATTTCAGGGGGGATGCAATATTAGGGTGAAACTGAGAAAGGTGAAATTTGAGCAAACAGAAAAAGAGAGGCATTCATTTGTGATCTGGGCTTAGGAGATGCATTTTAGGCAAAAGAATGGGCAAGTGCAAAGGCCCTGAGGCAGGAATCAGTTGGGCATGTCTACAAAATAAGGGAAGGCACGCCAGTGTGGCGGGTGTGAGTAAAGGGGAGGGAAGTGGGATGTAAGGTGAGGAGAGGCAGGTAATGGTCCAATTGTGAAGTACCTGTAGGTCAGATGAGGCATTTGGATTTGATTCTAAGTTTGATGGAACTTTTTAAGCAGGAAAATGATGGCCAATATTTAAGGACCTTCCCAGCAGCTCTGTGGAGGTAATAATGGTAGCTATAGACTGAACTTCTACCTTAAAACCCTTCCTGAGTGCCCTCAACTTTCCATGTCTTTCTGTCCTGCAGCCCAGAAACCCTTACTTGGCTCTAGGACACTTGGGTTCCCGGGCAGGGCTGTGACCCAGGAAGACTGTTCCCAGTCAGGCCCCTGGATCAGGCATTTGGCTTCATACCAGTACCACAGTGGCAAGGCCAGCACCTGCGACATTGGGAAGTTGTGCTCACAAGGAGCTTGGACACTCAACAAGGTACCTGGCACCGCTCCACTTGGTTCCTATCGGCTCAGAGACTCCTGGGGCTGGCCACGTACCAGGTGGGACTGGGTGTCCTGGTGTGAGAGTGAGCAGGGGGCAGAAGTATAGGGTAGGGACCCTTCTGATTACTAAGGGCCACTCACCCTCAGCTGTTTCCACAGATCCCCATCCTACCCCACTTTCTCACTAAAGCCTCTCCCTGTCTCCTATGGATGTGATCTCCTACTTCCCTGAACCACCACCACTGGTGTAAGAGCTCCGTGATAACTCTCCTGGGAGGGGGGTTAACAGAGGGCAAAGAACCCTGGGTTAGAAATCAGGAGACAAGCAGTTCAGGCCAGTGACAACTTACCATGAGATCACAGGATGCCAGGGCCTGTGCGGCCAGTATACTTTATCTTGCTTAATCCTCACCATCACCTATGCAAGCCCCCAGCTTACATCAAGAAAAATGAGGCTCAGAGAGGTTAAGAAACTCCCCCCAACGGCACATAGCTAATGAAAAGCAGAGTTGGATTGGAACCGAGTTTATCTGGCTCTGAAAGCCATGTTACACACCGTCCCTACTGCCTATGAGAGGGATGTCTCTAAGAGCCCTTGCCCCATCCTGCCCCCCTTCATGGACCCTGGGATGCCTGAACTTCAGGCATAGTCCCTGTGAAATTCCCGTACAGGACTTGCTTGCACAGGGCCTCCAGGGTCCTGGGCACCGTGCTGCCCACTGGGTGAGGGCCAGAGGGAAATGGGAGCTCGCTGGCAAGGAGAAAATCGAAGCGCACGTGAACACCGAAGACCAGGCCAGAGGAGGGGATGGCAGAGAGGCAGACAAAATGCTTCAGGAACTCAAGAGGGACAGGTCACTTCCAGGTGGAAGGTCTCAGGGCAGGATCCGGGGAAGATGCAGCCTTGAATTTGCCTCCTGAAACTCATGCTGGGGCTGGAGGGCACTCCGCTGCCATGGATTTTCTCGGCCGTTCCAAGGGCTGCTCTGTGAGAGCAGCTCCAGCTCCCACACTCCTTCTGGCAAATTTCTCCACCACTCAAGTGCTAAAAATGCCCTCATCGGCCAAGCCCTCTGCTGAGAGAACTGAAACTGCTTATTGCATCGCTCTCCACTCCCCACAGCCTGGAGGTAAAAGCTGTTTCCTTCATTCATTCCTGTTGTCCTTTTCCTCCCCTTCTAGTGGCTAAGCACCTGTTACGAGTTAACTCTTTCTATTAAGTACAACATGCGATGCTCACAAAGCAAGGGTTTTGTTAACAAGACAAACTGTGGTCGCAGATGGGGAGTCTGTGAATAGAAGGGGGTCCAGAAGGCTCAGTAGAAAGAGCAGAAACAGAAGGGGGCTGATGAGCAGAAGTGGAGAGAAGTACATCCTACTGCCTACTGCTCAGATCAAGAGAATCCTGGGCTTTGGCTTTCAGCTGGAGATTCCTGTTAGCACTTAAAGGCACTGGCCGCTGAATCAGCAAAATCCATGTTAAAATGATCTAAAGAGGAGGAAGTCTGCTTCTGAAGACTTGAAGAAGGGCAGAAGGAAGAATCTCAGGTTTTTCAAAATATCTTTTAGACACCATCGGGTTCAACCCCATCATCTAAGGTCACACGTTAAACCCAGAGATGTCCCATTTGTCTGTTCTCGCTCTAAGATGACAGGAGTTCACCTTCAGGACAGTGTGACATAATTGTCTGCAGTAGAGTAGCTAGAGGCCAGTGAATGAAGCCCTCACAAGAAGAGCCAAATGAACTCATCCAGCTTGGGAATTTTTGATGAGTCTGAAACTGGAAATGCTCCAAGATCAATACATATTCTTCTTCTGGGGTTGGAGATGTACTGGATGCTTTTATTTTCTACTCTAACTCTCCCCATATTGCAATATAATATTACAAGATAGATGCCCCAAGTCCCAAAGTGACTAGTACACAAATTTAAGTGCATTTATAACTAACATCAACAAACACTGGAGGCAGAAGATTATTTTCAGTACTGCATTTATTCAGAAGTACATAAATATGTTCTATAATAGAGCGTGTAAACACTATAAAACTTGGCTTGAATAATAATTCTACAAAAAGAAATACTGCGCATGAAGATATTTGTGCCCACCCAAGTCAGAGTCCCTCATTTACGTCACAGAAGCACGGTGGCAGGCGGTCATAGTCAGCATACAAGCTACATTCGTCACAGCACTGGACGTTGGGATAGGACCCAGTGGTGAGGGCTGCAGCCGCGGCGACCTTGTCCTGAGTGAGCATGGCTGGATTACTCTTTAAGGCCAAACAAAGAGGTGCCTTTGAAGGTCTTAAGAAAAGACATACACAAAGCATGGGATTAGAATTTTTCTTCTCAGTCCACTGGTCACAATTATCAGGGGTATCTGTGAAGTTTAGGCCTAGAGCCAATCAAATACATAACAGTAGCCCGAAACTAGAGCTCTCTGCCCCTGTCCCAAGCTCCCGTCTAATCGCTTCCTCTCCTAGGATGCTAGAAATGTAGAATCAGGTCACAGCAAACAAGGGAGAGCAAACTGCAAGTGTGGATCACCCAGCTGATCGCTGCAGGCCCATCCAAGTGCAGAGCGTGACCGGGAAGGGGCCGCACTTGGCTGTCCCCCCAACATTCTGGGATTCATCTTCTAGCTCCCAGGCTTAACTTCCCTAGCATGGGAACAGCACTGCTTCTAACGACCCATCTCTCCCAGATTTGAAGGTTCCTCTCCCCCTAAGTTAATTATCTTTTGTCTATACTCCCTTGTCAGGTGTCCCCCAGGATCTTCACACAGCTCAGCTTCCCCACAGTCCCACAGGCCCGCCTCCCTGTCCCCAAGGCCATGCACAGTGAATGAGAGAACACCGTGAGAGCTCCCCAACTCAGCTAAGAGGAGATCCAGTCAGCCTGTCCTCTGAGTGAATCCGAGGCACAGACTCATTCACAGCCTCCCCCACGGACTGCAGTGCTTGGGACGGAGGGAGGGCCCAGCCAGTGTGCTGAGTAAACCAGCTGGGGGTCCACTCTGGGAGGGTAAGTGGAGCAAAGCAGCACGGAGCCACCCAGCTGAGAACATTCTACTCATGAGCTCACAGCCCTAAGCCAGAAGGGGAAAAAAACAAGATTCTACACTCACCTGCTTTTATCTTTTCAAACCTACCTGCTGTTCCTGACCTCACTCTGGGTGCAGGCACAGGGCAAGGAATGACCTTGCTCAAGCAGAGAGCCCCAGGTATCCTATTTGAGGGGGTATTTTTCACCCTTACCCACATCACTCACTTCATTGCGTCGGATATTTTGTAGTAAAGACAGATGACAACACCCATCAGCACAAGAATGGCCACCAGGATACTGCCACCAATGCAGAACGTAATTATCGTGTTGACTTTAGAAGACTGAGCTTTATCTAGGCAGAGAAGTGCAGGCAATGAATGGGCTCCCCTCCCCACCCAGCCACCTTGCCACCTCAACAGCTTCCTCTAGTGGAAAAGGAACTGAATCCCAAACCACAGCTCCTTGTGCGTGTAAAATACAAATGAATCTTCCCAGGAAGGCACAGGACCCTAAACTGGCCCAGAGAGGGGGAAAGGGTTTATTTATGAATGAGACGAGACTGAAATGCAAAACCCAGAGAGAAAGAAGCAGGAGAATCTTTTACTTCCTTTCAAAGGCAGTAATGTGCAGCTGTAAGTAACAAAACAGGTCTCACTAAAATAAATGGTTTTCCTCCTGAATACCTGGGCATCCTGAAATACATTCACTTTCAGAATCAGAATTAACTCCTCACTCTACCTCAGGCTTAACAATCTCCTATGGGGATGATTGAGGGGACAACTTTTTAAAAATGTTATGTTCAACGGTGCTGAGAATATACAAATCTATTTTGTAAATGATACGTGTTTCAGGAAAAGTCTTCTATTCTCCCACTGACAACTGCCATTTTTCCTCCTCAATCCTCCCAGGAAATCCAGATTTTGTGGAATAAGCAATTCGTTTGATCTCACGCCCTGAAACCGGGAGAAGTGAGCAAGGATTGAAAAACAATCCACTGCCAAAACATACTTACTAGTGTCTAAGTCGTCCATGCTTGATGAAGGCCGGCAGTAAAAAAAAATTGTAATTAATATAAACTTCAGGGAATAGTACATCTTATCAGGAATTTCTCAAACTTTTAATTTGAGAAAGAAAATTCTAATTATCCCTGTTAGGAGTAATTAAGATGTAAGTCTGAAGAGCTTGCTTTTAGATGCATGGTCTCCATGAGAGCTACCAAAATGTACAGCCACTGTCCAGCTCCAACTTCTACGCCTGTCAGGCCAGAGGCTGTGTGACATCAACACCCTGGACACCAACTCCTTATCATGGAGTTCTGAATTCCATTCCATGTTCAGATATATTTTAGGACCAGTAGAAATATGAGTGTCCAAGTACTACTCTACACCATTTACTCTCAGTCTCACCTTTTCAAGTTTTGTTCTCTCAGAGAACCTTTTAAGGTTTGACTATTAATCAAAAGTCAATCTGGGACTTCAATTAAATAAAAGGACAGTAATATGGGGAGGCTAATATCTTAAAAATACTCATATATCTAAAAATACTCATATATCTTCAATCATGGAAGACTGGTTAGACTTTATGTTGTAGCAGCACAACAGAATAATATATAGCTGTAGTCATTTAACAGGAGTCAGATGTAGGTTCACTGACTTCAGAATATTATCAGATTTTATGTCTAAGACAAAAGGATTTCAAACAGCAATATGAATAGGATGTCTGTTATAAATCGGGTTTCTATTATCTTAAGGTATTCACACTCAGCAAAGTTGGTTCAATTAAATGAGGAAATCATTTTAACTATGAAGGGTTATTCCTTGTTGCTCTGGCTAAACCCTGGGTGAAGTCACAAACAGCAGGGGACTTATCAACAAAACTAGTGGCATAAGACCTCTGAAAATTCCTTCCTCTATAAAAGCAATGAAAAATCGGACAGAAAAACTGTCTTTTTCAGACTCTGGAAATTAAAAGCTTACTGCAGCTCAGGAAACACTTATTTTTAAGAACAACTGAATCTCAGTATGAATAGCAGGCTTGCGGCATTGTTCCATCATTCACTGTCCAGCTCCATGGCAACCTTGAAAATAAAACCCAACCTGCAATGCAGCCACCAAAGGGAAAATAGAGGTAGAGCTCTTTCAAAGCCTCATTCCCAAAGAACTGTCATTATTTGAACTGTCTTCTGGTTACCTGGAAATCCTCTCTTGCAAAGCTATCTGTATTTGACTAACTTGGAGTTCTCCTAATGCAAAAAGTCCTCCTCTAAGGGGATTTTGGCAAAAACAATTACAACTGTTTCAACTGCTTGGCTGCCTGAGGTAGTGGATAACATTTGGGGCAAATCACAGAGTAGCCAAAAAGCTTAAAGGAAAAGCTGGTAAATTAGCTGTCCATAGGAGTTTTGAAAAGCTCTGACACATTCCTGAGGCTCTAGGCCATGCACATGTGCTGTGTGCGTGTCTAAGGCTGTGAGTATCCTCAAGAAAGACACAAAATGGTCCTAAGCATTCACCTCTGACTGACCTAAGGCTTTTGCCCAAGCAAAAAGTGAAGGCTATGGCAGAGTTTTTAACTTCGTAGCTGATTGTTAAAGGCATGCCCCAACATGCACATGGAGCCCCTCATGAAAGACTGGGAGATTTACTGGTTCCAGGCATTTAAGGTAATCTTTGTTTGATCATTAGCTGATCACTAAGCTAATCAACAGAGACTTCAGTGTCAACATACAACAAAGAACACAGACTTTATAGAATTTGTTGAGAAAAGTCACTAAACAACAACAAACCTTGGAGAGCAGGGAGAAACGGATTTCCAGAGTTGCCATATTATATTAAATGTCTAGTTTTCAACAAGACTATAAGACGAAAGAAAGAAGAAAGAAAGAAAGAAAGAAAGAAAGAAAGAAAGAAAGAAAGAAAG